CCCCGACCCCCAGCACCCTGCCAGGGACGCCGATTTCGATCGCGTCTACAGCGGGGTGGTGGACGTGGGCACCGAGGACATCTACTCCTTCACCTACACCAGCCAGCCCGGCCAGGTAAGACACGCGCTCGCCCCCTCGGCTCCCGGGAACTTGCCGGGTCTGCGGGCCCCGCGGCGGCTTTGGGTCGTTTGGCGGTCGGCCTCGGGAGACCTCAGGCGCCGGGGGCCCCTGGCTCCGCTTCTGGTTGCGAGCGATCCCCGCGCAGCCCGAGCGCCGCGTCGTCCGCAGCCCGTCTTGGGAAGCGCTCCGACTCCATCCCGCGCCTCCCCGCGCCTCCCCGCGCCCGGCTGCCGGCCTTTCTGGGCTTTCCCGAGGCGCTGGCTCCCCGCGCAGTCTGCGCGTCCTGGCCACCTCCTGGGCCTCTGTCGAGGAAAGTCGTGATTTCTAGGGTCACGGAGGGCAAGGACCGCAACTCTGTTGCTAACCCGCTGCGGGGAAGGACACATTTCGTTGGGACCCGGCCGAGCCTCCAGCGCCGCAGCGCGCCGGGAGCGGGGCGCGGCGGGGGAGCGGACGCGGGAAGGTGTGCGGGCGCCGCGGGCTGCGGGTCCTCCGCGTTCACAGCCGCTTCCTGCGTGTCTGTGCTCCCGAGCAGCCAGAAGACCTGGCCAAAGACGTTGGAGCGGCGGCCACCCCCTCATCTGTTGAGATGTTGATTTTAAGTTAGGATGGATAACCGTGTGACAATTTTAGACCTACTTCTGACAAGAAGTGAGGTGAGGCGGGGGGGGGGGACTGACTTCCAGCAACTATCCCTTTGACACCTATACTCTGTGATTATATAATGCGAGAAAAACATAGTTCGATTTTTTTCCCTTTCATATGGTTCCCTCTGGGGCACAGAGAAAAGAGAAAACTCACCACTGTACCTGTCTCGGGTTCGACTTCCCGTATGAACGTGTGTGTATGTACGGCTGCGCCAGAGTTCCCTGCTCCCCGGAGCTTCAGGAACAGGTCGTTGGGGTGCCATGATATGCCTCCCTCTCTTACTCTCACTGAGGATCGGAACTCAGAGACCTGGCAACTTGGGGCAGTACTGAGCTGGAGGGACCCATGTGCCTACCGCCCTCCCAGACATCTCCCAGCTCTGTACCGAGCAGGTGCTCCATCTCCACCCTGGCACTGCATCCTAAGGGGCTGTGGCCACGGCCGCACAGCGCTCACCCTGTCCTGTCCTCCTATGACTTTCAGGCCCTGTGTCCTGAAGTGAGCGGAGTGTCTGTGTGCAGAGCCACCCCATTATAGACAAGCAGGAGGGGGCAGTTTTTATTCTCCCAACCCCATCTAAGGGACCTCTTTCTGCCCAACGTGTGGTATGGACCAGCTGACCTGTCACATATGAGGTGTGTTCCCAGCCCTGCGACTGACTCAGAACAAATAAAAGTCTAAAAAACTCCACGACCTCTGGGGTGTACTGTCAATTTCCTCCTAAGTTATTGATAAGAGAACAAGCAATCTGTGCAAAGTCAGTCCTATCATCAGGCTTTAGTGTGTCTTGCACTTCTGCTTAGAGCTAGGCTGACTGCGTTTTAACTACTGTTTGGCCTTTCTGCCCTTAGTATAATGCCAGTTCCTCTACTGCACTGCAGCGCAGGTTATGCTGTTTGCAGCTGGGATAATCTGCTTGACTTTGCTAGAAAACCACGAGATATTGAGGATAAGGGCAGAGTCATGTTCATCTCTGTACCCCAGTGTCTAGCACAGTGCTTGGCCCATAGAAGTTTACCAATGTTTGGGGGGTGGGGGGAATGAATAAGTGAAGAAAGATTTAAGGACTCTATAAGCTGATGCTAAATAAAGTAAACTACATAGTTCTAATAGGTCGAAAGTATGAGATTATTTCAGATAAAAACTAAACTTTTTCATGAAAAAATTTTTATAAAAAACAAAATTTTTTTTTAAATTTCAGAGATTATTCCCTTTCCATTTTGCCTATGTGTGTGTTAAAATGCCATTTATTATATGAAACAATGGGAAGATTGGTTGTTAAAATCTCTGCATAGTACAATAAAAAGGTGGTTATCCCAGCAGTCCCTACAATTTTACTACTCCGAGAAATACAGTTGGAGACCATGGAACTGATAGATTACTGAAGTATTTTAATGCCAGCAAGCAATTATAGGAACCAGATGTTCTCAAATCTTACAGCTTTCTGAGACCTCTCTTTAATATCCAAATAAGACAGTGGAACTCTCAACCCACTTACTTTGGGAAGTTCCCCTCCTCTCCCTCCAGTCAGTACTTCTGTTGATTTCTTCAGTGATGGCATTTTTCTGATCTATTCATCCAAACCATTACTCAGTTTCTACTGGTAGCCTCCTCTCTTCTTGGTCCCTTTTGCCCCACGTTGAATACTAGCAGCCCCTCCTTCCAATACCATAAATAAGATGCTGTTGGATGTAGCAGAATTTCACTGAAGATGTGGAATAACATAAGGAAATTGCAGGACACCGTAGGATAGGTGATAGATTAAATCAGAAATCCAGGCAACATTGTCATGACAATTTACCAGCTATTCCCCTCCCCCTGCCAGGGGAAATTTCAAGATGGTGGCCCTATTTTGGGGGCCCTGGCTTATCACCATCTTCTTGGCCACCCCCCACCCCAAATGCTAACTTCCTGCTCTCTACATCTTTGTTACTGTCTCATATCAAACAGCTTTGCCTCCGTCTCCAAACCCAAACTCACTAAAGGGCTCTGCTAAGTAAAAGTCTATGAACCCAAGAGTAGAAGCTTGGCTGTGACCAGTTTCCTTTAACCCGAGCAAGTCCTGGTCAGGGCTCCCTCCCCTGAAGGGGTCATTTCCCACCTGCCCCTCTTCAATGCAGCGAAGAATTGGGTTTAGAAAAAGAAATTCTAATTTTTTGAGTTTCAATCTTTTTTTCCTTTTGAAACATTATTGTATTTGCCATTATTGTTCCCCTAAGCTTGGAGGAGAAAGGCTATTCCAAATTTAAGCTTTGGTAAAGAGAGGAAGCTACCATGGGAGCCTTCCCTCCTAATCTTCCCTGTCAGCCTCTGCATCTCCCATAGCCAAGCTGCTTTTCTGGAGAACTGTTTAGCCAAGCGTGTCATGCTAATTAGCTGAGCTCAGCACCAAGTCTCACATGCCTTCCAGGCAGAGAGTAATGTAAATAAGAAGTTCTCATTAAAAAAAAAAAAAAGTATCACTGAAAGAATGGAGGGATTGGTTTAAAGAAGATGAAATATAATGATTGAAGATGCAGGTTAAGCAAGATCATGGCTCATTTCCTTTCCCTTTTCAGAGGAGTAGGGTTTCACTGTGGCACACAAGGTGTTCTAAAGCCACAGGGCTGGTGCAAAACTGGCAGGAAATCACCTTGTTGAGAAAGTCACCAGGGATATGTTTGACTAGAACAGAGGGCACAAAAGCAGGTTTATTGGAAATGAGAATATTTTGTACAGACAGGTGGCGGCAATAACCAGATGTTTATATTTGAGCTAGAGGGTGATAAGGAGCGTTTAAGTAAAAATCTACCCACCATGCAAATGTCTTTTCTGAGACTTTCAGTGACAGAATTCACTGTTTGCCATAGATTTTTGAATTTGAAATGTTTCCCTGGAAATAATTATTTTGTTTACTAAACTGAGGCATTTGTCTTTTAATGACATACACTTTTCTATATCCAAGGAACAATCCTTGGCTTAGTATGATCAACCAGCATTATGTTATACCAGTTATACCAGTCTCTTGGATCCAGATTCAAAAATCCTATCCAGTTCTCATGAACAATGGTAACTTCTAGCTCTGTACATGACTAGTTATGCCTAATTTAAGACTTTGATGTGCTAGCGTCAGCTCTCCCGTTCTCGTGTGCACTCTCCCTGTGTTCTCTCTGTACTAAGACAGAGAAGCCTCCTCTGCTGTCCTCTCACTGAACTGACTGGCTCTTGTTTGTGAGGAGAGAATCATCTCATTAGCACATTACCTGGGTGACTGGTTACTGTCTCTGCCAGCTCAGGCTGCGATAACAGAATACCATATAGTCTGGGTGCCTTAAAAAATATTTCTCACAGTTCTAGATGCTGGGAAGTCCAAGATCAAAGTGTCAGCAGATTTGGCATCTGGTGAGAACTGGCTTCCTGGCTTATAGACAGTGCCTTCTATCTGTGTCCACACTTGGCCCACAGAGAACAGAAGCAAGCTCTCTTCTGTTTCTTCTTATTAGGGCACTAATCCCATCATGAGTGCTCCAACCTTTTGATCTCATTACCTTCCAAAGGCCCTGTCTCCAAATACTGTCACACTGGGGATTAGGCTTCAATTTATGAACTAGGGTGAGGGGAATACAAACATTCAGTTCATAGCAGTCACCTCCCACATTTTTCTCTGTGGCTCTGAAAATGGAGCATGGATGTCATAAGGATGTCAAGGGCTGACCATTCTCCACTTATGGGTCTGATTTTTATGGAGGACCCATCTTCTGCCTGCCTAGACCTGATAATCTTGTGCTGAATTGCGTAATTGCTTCTGTAAGTATGTGCTGTCGAATACGGTAGCCACTGTCCACATGTTGCTGTGGAGCACTTGAAATGTGGCTAGTCTCAATGAGGTGTACTGTCAGTGTAGAAAACACACTTAATTTTTAAGACAGTATGAAAAAAATAACATAAAATGTATCATTAATTTTTTATTGATGTATTATATAATGGATATGTCAGGTTAAATAAATATTTAATAAAATTCACCTGTTTCTTTTACTTTTTTAATTTAGCTACTAGAAAATTTAAAAACATCTGCCTGGCTCATATTATATTTTTATTAGACAGCACTTCTCCAGGTACTACAAGACTTTAGAGAAGTCATTCATCCCACAGATAGCTTCATTGGAGGTAATGAGGTTTGAAAAGGTAATAACAGATAAGCAGAACTTGGATAGGCAGAAAGAATGGAGATAAAGCTGCTATAAACGTGTGCAGATTTTTATGTGGATTTAAGTTTTCAATTCATTTGGGTAAATACCAAGGAGCTTAATTCCTGGGTCATACGGTAAGAGTATGTTTAGTTTTATAAAGAACTGTCAAACTTCTCT